TGCAAATTTAGGCAGGTGGCTCGGGACCCTGCTTTGTGGCAGTCCTCGGGGGAGGCCTATGCCCAGCAGAGGACTTGTGAAGGGCTGTAATGATGATGATGATGATGAATTTTCTTAAATATCATGAAGGGTAAGACCTGAGTGAAGAGCGTTCAGCGGGGCGGAGTGTGGATCGCGCATGGCAAACACAGGCTATTGTATTACAGTATGCTAAATGGAGTGTCCTAACTGCCGTTTGGTAGCAGTACAAGAGAATTCATCATATCCTTTCGCCGCGTAGGTATTTCCGTCCACTTTTAATATGAATGTCTTCAAGGCAAGCGTGAATAGACTTTTATTAAGACTTTACCATCTTCCGCGGTATTCCTACATACCATCAGGTGAGATAGAAGTACATCGCTGGCTTGATATAGTAAAAAAATTACAAATCTTTTACGGTATTCCTTAAATACGCAGACCAGTGACAGTCAGGAGCTAAGCGCTCGCTGTAAATTTCAAATTACGCGAGCAACCCGCCGGCACTAATTAAATTGTTAATTGCACTTTTATGTGCTGATTTACCACGTGCTCGGCGGCGAAGGAAAACATCGTGAGGAAACCTGCATGTCTGAAAAATAAGAAAAAAATATTACGAATTCGTAATATGAAGTACGCCAACACCCATTGGGGCAGAGCGGCGGACTTTTTCTTGCATTAAAACCCGCTCAGGAATGAGTCCTGTGCACAGCAGTGGGACGTACCTATATAATTTAATTTTTGCCACTTCGTCACCGCTCCAACGCTCTCTGAGGCCTTAGCTTAAATATCTATATCTATACATATAATAAATCTGTAGAAAAGTCGTGTCTGTAATTCTAATATATTCTTGAAAAAACAAGTCCAGGGGACTAAATAAAGGGTTCTGAAGCCAAATGAGTGGTTTTTAGAATTTTTGTCTGTCTGTCTGTCTGTCTTTCTGTCTGTCTGTCTGTCTGTCTGTCTGTCTGTCTGTCTGTGTATTCCGGATTCACGCAAAAACTACTGAACCGATTTACATGAAATTTTGTATGTAGGTAGTCAGTAACCCGGGGCAACTTATAGGCTACTTTTTATCCGATTACGGAACTTCGAAAAAGGAAGGTTAAGTATATTAATTTCCTTTAGATGTTAATTTTCTGTTGTATCTTAGTTATACGGGTGTTTTTCAAATAAATACCATATTACCATATTTGTTAATAAAGTTTAAAATATAGTTATAATCTTGGTAAAATAATTTGAAACTACACCGATTTCGTATTCAAAACAGCGCCATCTATCATCAAATGGAAAAAGTTGTATATTTTACCTTCAGTTACTAATAAATGAAATAATATAAATAACTTACATTTACCTATATGATTAAATTATTAGATTTTTAAAATTATTAAAAAAATGTAACGGCAGTTTCTTAGTATTTTTGTTATTTTATTTTAAAAGTGTAATAATTTCAATAGATAATAGTGATGTCTATCAAAAATATGAAAATTGATAAGGTATTTATTTCAATTACTAATATATATGTAAAGTGATAAAAACTGGTCTGTCTGCAATTGTCGCAAAATTGACATTATCATCATAGTTTTATTAAAGAGATTTTTACATAAGTCGTGGCCAGATCGTAGAATTGATCATATATCATAAAGTAGTCTATCATTTCGTGAAAACACTGAAAAAATGACTGAAATGAATGTGTATTTAACACTATTTGATGACCGTGTCATGATATAGCTTGACCAAATCAATGAATAGAAATCTTTTGAAGTTATTAGTAACTAAACATAACGTTGCTATTTCATAATATGGTCATATGACGATATCATTATCGTTTTTCACCGCTAGCGGCGCTGATAGCTTATTTTTAACAGAAACAGAACTTTTAAGAGAATTGACATCACTTTATTCCTTATTGATATAATAAATAAATTTTCGTTTCTATTGCTGATATTACTAGATGGTATAGTTTTGGCTTTCATTATTTCAAGTAATATTAGGGCCACCTACTTACTTCTAAATAAATTAAAATGGCAAGACATTGATAAAATGAAATAATACAATGCTACTGAATATACGATGTAAATAATTGAATCATTTACATTACGTTCATCCCGCGTTGGAATCAGTGCAGCGAACTCTTTTTTGGCCAAAAACTCTACAGCCTGTGCCCAGTAGTAGCATGTATGTAAGCTGCTTTTTTACTTTTCATGGGGCAATATATGCAGTTTCTATTTCATTCGTGTTTTCGGGTATGATAATTTATGTTTTCACTCTACCGTAAATATTAAGGCTTGCAAAGATGAGTAGAACTCATTATCGTCAGCCTATCAAAAGTCCACTGAAAGAAACATAGGCCTCCCCCATAAATTGTCAAGTAGCTGGATATTTGCTATAGCGGCGGGTTGGCAACCGCAGCTATTATTATTTTGATCTGTAGTCAAGAAGATGATGCAGATCATCCCATCTACTGTTTTTTTCCTATGTCGCCTCTTACGACGGGACGATATGATGTGTTGGATTTCCTTTCACCACCACAACAGTGGGAACATTTTTCTACTCCCGTTCATGAGTGTAGTGTTCCTCACGTTCACTGTGTATAAAATTTATAAGGAATAAAAGTAATTTTAAGGATTTTATCGCGTTTAATTTTAACTTTTTAAATTCCCGATGGTTTGGGCAATTTATAGCACCCATGGTCACGGGAGGGGTAGGAGAACTGAGGTGTTTGACGACCTGATGTCATAGTTAAAATAGAATAGTTAAAACGCAGTAGAAGTTTGAATTTAATTTTATTAATCATGGAGTCCTTAGCAGATACGTAGGCGGTCCCATAATGAATTGGCCTAACTATGAACCAATGAAGGAAATGAAACGAAACCAATTTTATTTTTCAATATAATCACCATGAATACTAACACACTTCTGACATCTGTGAATCAACATCTCTAAACCTTTATAAAAATAATCACATTTTTTATCCTCAAAATGACTGAAGACGGCCGCCTGCAACTCTTCATCGCTTGAAAATTTTCTTCCTCTTAAGTCCCGCTTTAAATTTGGAAATAAATAATAGTCGGACGGGGCCATGTCTGGACTGTAAGGTGGATGTTGAACTTCTGTGAACCCGCATTGACGAACTGCATCCTTCGAAACACCAGCGGTATGAACAGGGGCGTTGTCATGGAGCAACAGGACACCTTTAGACAGCTTGCCTCTTCGTTTTTCCTTTATCTTGTCTCGTAATTTATATATTAAAGAAGCATAATATTCGCCGTTCACGACTGTATTACGTTCTTTAAAATCCACCATCAAAATGCCTTGAAAATCTCAAAATATTGTGCACATCAGTTTTTTAGTCGATTGTTGCACCTTTGCCTTTCTAGGGGGCTTTTCACCCTTATAACGCCATTCCATTGACTCGCGCTTGCTTTGTGGATCATAATACAAGATCATAGTTTCATCACCAGTCACTAGCCGCTCGATCACAGTCTTTGGATTTTCGCCACAAAGATCCAAAAACTCCGAAGCGCAGCGCACTCTTTCCTGTCTCTGTACCGCTGAAAGAAGTTTCGGTACCCATCTTGCACTCACTTTTTTCATGTGAAGATGTTCATGGATCGCGCGATGAACGGTACTCTTAGAGAGCCCAAGCCTTGCTGCAATTTCTCTAATCTTCAAACGGCGGTCACTCAGAACCTCCTCTTCGATAAGAGCAATCGTTTCAGGAGTGAGCACTTCCACAGGTCGACCGTCGTGGCCAAAGTCTTCGACGGTTTCTCTCCCGAGGCGAAACTCTTTCACCCAATTTTTCACTGTGCTATAGGAGGGGGCAGACTCCTTATACACGCCATCCAATCGTTCTTTTATTTGGGCAGGGGATAAACCTTCTTTAAACAGAAACTTTATGACACTTCGATACTCAGTTTTCGACATTTTGAAAAAATACGCGACTCTCGTTATTCAAATGCCTGTTAAACTAAGACTAAGCATTTCATGTCGATGCATGTTTCTTATATTAAGTGCACGATAAACGTACTATTTAATGCAACACAACATGTAGCGACATGTCGCGTTGAACTATATCAGGCCAGTTCATTATGGGACCGCCTGGTAGTAGCACTCAGCTATCTTCCCTATTAAAATTAGGATATTTTTAATTAGCTATGAATGAATGAATATGAAAATGGGGCTATTGAGCCTCGGGAATCATCATTGGTAGGATTCGGTGTTCTATTGCAACAATTTGTTGTATATAATGGTTGGGACGATACTAAACATGTTTACATACTTTAGATTTCCCGGAGCTTCGGTAATTTCATTCGATGAGGAGTCAAGATGCGTAAAAAACCCGTAACATTAGTTTTAATCCATGTGTGGTATTCATTATTATAGAACTGTATTTATGAAATTTTCAAGTCTACTCGAAGTAAATAAAAATATCTATATCTTTTTATGGTGCCAATCAATATTAAATAGGACCAATGATATGAATACGAGTAAAATGTCTCAAATAAACATTATATTACTTTGTTAAAACTAAATTTACTTTAACTATGAATATATATATATGTAAAGAGTAAAATGTAAGTAATAATAATACATTTTGATTTGAAGACTATTTACCTTTCTTATGGATACATCGGAATCGGAAGACACGCCATATATAAAAAATAGTAGGAGTTTCTAGACATATTATAAGTATATTCACGTGTTTCTGTAGCATGTTACCAATCATCTACGTCTTATTAGACGTAGATGATTGGAAAATACTATTGTATTTTAGAATGAAAAAAAATCTCTGACAGACATAGAGACATAGACACCAAGGTGACTCTAAAAGTGATCGAATATTTCTAAATTTGACACGGAACAGCATTTAATGATGTCCCTAAATTCAAGCACACGCGAGCGAAGCCGCGGGTAAAAAGCTAGTTATTAATATATTGTCATGCTTTACACTTGACTTTGTTAAATTATTGTTATTACAGAGGACATTGTAATAAAGATCATAACTGACTTCACTACGGAACAAGGAGAAGATGGAAAACCTCACTTTAAAATACTCAAGTGGCGTGACTCCTTCCACGTCAAGACTGGAGCTACCTTCTATTTTGACAACTTATTCAATGGAAACAAGGTTCTTGGTAAGTATTTAAGTTTCATTATTAATATTGTATTATTAACGTCTAAATATTCCTACCTTAAAATGTGAAAAAGATTTTACTATAATAAAGTAGATTAAAACAAATAATAGTAGAACGGTTGAAGTAATCTATACAAATATATAAAATTGAAGTGTCTGTTGGTAATGTGAAAATAACAGCTTTTTACTAAATGTATATGCAAGCATATTAAACGGTACTTATAACAAAAAAAAAACATTTTTAAAATGTTTGTCTGTCTATCTGTTTATTTCGGCTAATCTCCGAAATGGCTGGACCAATTTTGACGAGACGTTCACTAGCAGATAGCTGATGCTATAAGAAGGAATTTAGAGAATACTTTTATTTAAAAAAAAAGTTCCGCGAAAAAAAAAAGAAAACTACTTAAATCCAATCATAATAAATAAACGCGGACTAAGTGGCGGAGACCAGATATTTCTTGTACTATTATTTATTCTGTGCAGTTAGTAATAGTAAAGTCTCAACGGAGACTAGCCTCTCTCTCTTCTTCTCTCTCTATTTGCGCAGTTCAGGATTATAGTGCACGAGTGTATGAACAAGCACCAATGGGATGACGATCTCATACGACTGGGGAAAGAGTGAGAGAGAGAGAGAGAGAAGCACGGGGCTAAAACACCGAAAAAAATTCCAACGCTAAGGGTTATTTTAAGTTTTCTAATAAATGTTTGCACTGTGCGTCTAAATATGGCTAAACTTTGTTTTCAGCTGACCCAGTGATAGAGTTCGCAAACGCAAACTGGAACGACGTAATGCAAGAAATCGCACCTCCAATTGTTCACGCCATTATCGCTGAATTGTATAAAAACTTTGAAGCCTTCTATAAGGTTGTACCAGCCGAAGAATTGTATATTCCTTAATAAAACCAAATTATTACTTTTTACAGGGGGCATGGGCTTTTTTTCGGTGGGTAGGCGCAAAAGTGTATTGACATATTTAAAATCGTTCCTGATTTTTTAACGTTTTAATTTAGAACAATCAAGTATATAAATGCACCTGTAATTACATAAATCCATCAGCATTGTTTACTAATAATTTGTTTTTCATTGTACAACTTAAAACTTATTTTTCCACTTCACTCACCTAACATTGACTTTTAATTGAATATTCAAACTGGATTTGCTTAAGAAGTCAATTGAAGAGCTAACACTGAATTTCACTTCACGTATGGATGAGTTCCAGAGGGAGGTCAGAACATCCATCCCTGCAACGAGCCCTTCTTCCAATATTAATGCACAATTTAATGCCTTTAGGGCATTCGTCCTGTCAGCACTTGAGAATCTGCAACTTCAGCTCCAGCTTCTCTCTAGGCAGCAAGATGAAATGGAGGTAAGGACCAGGAGGAAGATGTTGCTTGTCCATGGAATGCCAGAAGCTCAAGATGAGAACCTAGTGCATTGCACAAGTAAGGTATTATCAGGGCGGCTGAACATCCCTGAATTAAGTGTGGACTCTATTACCAGATGCCATCGCTTAGGGCGCCCCCATGGCGACAAGCCTCGTGTGTTGCTCGTGAAATTTCGAGATCAGGATCTCCGTGACAAAGTTTGGTTTTCCAAAACCAAGCTAAAGGGTAGCAGAGTTACTCTATCTGAGTTCATGACTAAGGGTCGTCATGAGGCGTTCGTGGCTTAGCTTTCCATTGACGTCAGTGGAGTTTGGTGTTGATACGTATTTTTACAGAAAGATTACACTATTATAAGCACACATACAAAGTCTCAATATACGGAAACGCGTAATTTTTGAGAAAAGAATAATTGAAAATCAATTATTCTTGCAATGTTTATGTCTAATCTGCTAATAAACTGGCGCAATTTTGTAATGTCATTGTCGACGTCAATAGGGATGTCGATTCTTTGCGAAAAAGGTCGATTTTTAAATCGATTCAAATCGTAAGCTGATGTATCGGTTCACAAAAATCGATTTCTAAAATATCTATATTTTTTTAATGTTTCTATTTATAATATAAATATAAACCCATTTTATGAAAAACAAGAAAGATACCAAATAAAATAGGTTAGGTTCAACTTATGGCAAAGAACCGAATTGATTGACCCCGACTCCACCTGGTACGAGTCTGTCCTACCCCTAGAGTGGTTTTATAGAGCCGGAGGCGCGTAGGGGGAGCAGACTCCGCCTGCTGTAACAAATCCTAAGCTGCGGAAGCGAGGAGGGATGCCTGCGATTTGTTACGCTAAGGCGTAGAGGTTGCTCTTCCCGCAGCGCCGGAGACGTAGCAGTCTCAAAATAGATACAGAAATCCTTATGAATCAGTCCCCTTATTTTTTTATGATGAAGGGGATTTTTTTTCTCATAAAATGGATTTATATTTACATTATAAATGCAAACATGAAAAAAATATCGATATTTTGGAAATCGATTTTTTGGGAATCGATACATCAGCTTACAATTCGAATATATTTAAAAAATCGATCTTTTTCGGAAAGAATTGACATCCCTACTGACAATAATAATAAAAATGGCGTCAGTTTCACGGTAGGAATTGACTAAATATTGCAAAATTATTTGATTTACATTATTTTTTTCTCAAAAAGTACGTGTTTCCGTATATTGAGACTTTGTGTGTGTGCTTATAATAGTGTAATCTTTCTGTAAAAATTCGTATCAACACCAAACTCCACTGACGTCGACGGCGGCGGCGGCATCTTCGGCTCCCAAGCCCTGTGTTACTACTGCTAGGGCTAGGAAGACGGCTAAAAAATGATGGTAGTGGCATGTTTTTCTTGTGGTTTTGTTTTTACTAATTTACTCCAGCAGCTCAATTCATATATTTTTTGGAACTTTTAGGTAATCAGGTTTTAAATTATAATTCTTTGCCATTCATTTTTATAACATAAATTTCATAATAGGTTTCCACTGGTTTGATGATTGTTACTCAAATATTTACGTATAAATATTTTTATTTATACTAACAGTGACAGTTGTTACCTGTTGTCAGTAGACGTGGGCGTTATTTCACGTCACAAGTTACAATAACTGGCTACGTGGCGTGTAACCGAATCACTAGTTTCGAGTCATATTACAAGTAGTGATTTCTGTAAATGCGTTATTACTGTTAACTGTGATTGTTGCGAGAGTCGACTGTCAGTCGGTCAAGCGCAAAGCGCACATGTGGCATACAACAATAAACAAAACAGCGTATGTATGTAACAGTATTATTGTACGTTTAATTTTCATACGTAAAACTATAGATATAGACAATATAAATAGAGTGATCTTTGTTTGTAAAAAATTTCAACACTGCAATTCCGAGAAGCGATAGTCACATTGAATTTAAGTAAAATTCTTTAGTTTGTTTTAGTTCATCGTTGTACTTGTTTATAATTTTGAATACTATCTTGTAAAAATATAATTAGTATATAAATATAATTAGTCTGGATTGTACAAGTTTAAATAAACTGTGAATATCAATAATCATTGTATATATAATCAAATTGACTTGTAAATACCCCTGCATTAATAATTTTATGAAAATCTTAGTTTCATAGTAAATACAAAACAATCATCAATACATTTAATGCAGTCAGTTCTAAGCCTGAATAAAGTATGAAGGGAAGTTAATTTATTGATTTAACTGTATAGCTAAAAACACTTGGATAGTGATTAAATTTATTTTCTTTTCGTGTGTAACTGTATAGTTCTTGGTGGTATTTATGCAAACAATCACAGTAGCCAAATAAAAATAGCCAGTTACAAAAATCACTAGTTTTGAAACAGTTGACGCCGACCAAGTCACTGGTTTCGTTACGTTTCTTGAAAATGACGTAACGACCCACGTTTAGTTGTCAGATTTCTTTCTTGTTTTTCTTTTTTTTTTATTAGATTGGCAAAGGTATCTTAATCCATACTGCCTAGTCTGGCGTTTACAGTTTCAAAATGTCTTACAATTTATTGGCGTCAGACTGCAAGTTTTTTGTAATTTTAATTATTAAACTGATTGTTTTATTTCTTTAAGTTGTTGTTCTGTTATATGCTTTCTCTTTCATGCTGCTGGTGGTTGTAATAGTATAGGTATCTTTCGATCATTATTTATATATATTTTTTTCTTTTTCTTTTTTAGTGTATATAAGAATTTATTTTATATTATAATTTAGTATTTATGACCTCCTCAAACATTTGTAACGATAGTGATTTGTTTCTATCGTTGTCTTCGGACAATGAGACACTTAGTGATGATAGCTATCACAGTACAACTGCTTCTCCTTCACTCAACATCACCTTAAATTCTTTTTTCGCAGACTGTGTGAATAACTTTAATGCTATTCATATTAACGCCCAAAGCATTCAGGCTCATTATCCTGACATGCTTGCGTCATTTGAATCCCAAAATATTCACGCCATTTTAGTTTCAGAATCCTGGCTAAAACCTTGTCTGCCTACCACTTCTTATTCTTTGCCTGGGTTTCATCTAATTAGAAATGATCGCACTAATAGGCGTGGTGGAGGCGTGGCGATCTATCTAAGATCCTACCTTCCATTTAAAATTTTTAGTTCGTCAAGTCAACCACCTCCTGTTGATTCTGCTGAGCATTTGCTGGTTGAGGTCTCCCTGTCTCAGAATAAAATCCTACTTGGAGTTTTCTACAGTCCCTCCCGTTCTATAAATTATTTAACTTCTTTCGAATCTCTTTTAGAATCACTAGTCCCTACGTATAGTCACACTATTTTGATGGGTGACTTTAACACCTGTTTGCTTAAAGGCGACAATCGATCTATAAAACTTGAAGCTATAATTGAAGCGTGTAATATGCAAATCCTACCCCTTTCTGCTACTCATAACTTTCCTAACAGTACTCCTTCCCTTCTTGATTTAATAAAGGTGTCATCTTCCAATTTAGTTTTCAAGCACGGATAGTGTCCTGCTGATGCATTCTCTTAACACGATTTAATTTTTCTTTCGTATAAACTACGCCCTCCTAAAATCAAACCTAAATTAGTTCTGCGACGTAATTTTGGAGGAATGGATACTGAACAACTTTGTGAAGATGCTTAAAATATTGACTGGTCAGTGATCGAGAGAGCTCCATGCATTGACGATAAAGTGATACTGTTCTGTTCTCTTCTCACTCAGCTTTATGACGTTCACGCGCCAATGCATTATGTGAGACTTAAACACCTACCTGCTCCATGGCTCTCTGATGATCTAAAAAAGCTTATTTTGCAGAAGAATGCGCCATTGTCAAAGCTTAAGAGGAATAAAACAGAGGAAAACGTAAGGAAATACGCCAAAATCAGGAATCGATACAAGACGTTATGTAGAGATGCGCAACGACGCCATATTCATACATCAGTCGAGAACGGCGACTCATCTAGGGTGTGGAAGTTTCTCAAAACAGTTGGAGTTGGTAGAACATCCCTAAATGCTTCACCTCCTAGTGTTGATTTTGAACTATTAAATCAACATTTTTCTAATCCTTCTAACTCTTTTGATAGCGAACATAAACTGCAAACACTTCGTTCGCTTTCTGTAACTCCGACTCCTAATTATCCTCCGTTCGTGTTTAGTCAGTTTACTGAATGTGATGTTAAGAAGACCATATTATCCATCTCCTCAAATGCTGCCGGTAGCGACAACATTCGCCGTAATATGATTGTTCCTCTCCTTGATGTTATTACTCCCATTATCACTTATTTACTCAATGCTTGTGTCTCTTCCTCTAAGTTCCCTCAAGCCTGGAAGAGTGCTCATATTATACCCCTTCCAAAGATATCTAATCCCGTCAACCTCTCTGATTTCCGTCCCATCTCGATCTTACCTTTCCTTTCTAAACTCCTTGAAAAACTTATTTGCCAACAGCTGACCTTTTTCTTTAATAAGCACAATTTATTGAATTCCTTA